TACAGCAGCACACTTTTGAATCTACAAGGGGAAAGACTGCCAAATGTAGTAAGCTTTCTAAGGACAGCACTGGGCTCAATCCTTAATCCTTCTCCGGGGAGATCTCTTAAGAAGCCAGGAGGGCTGGTAGTGCTTGCAGGCTGTGGAGCAGCTCTCTAAGGGGAGAGAAGACGTTTCTGTATGTAGCTGCGAGAAGTAAAGTGATTTTTGAGGGGCTGCTAGTTCCTCGCCCGTAAAGGGCAGCTGCTACTAATCTGCAAAGACTGGAAGCTTTCAGGAAAAGAAGAGTCCAGGATCTGTCTTTGTACATAGAAGGGAAGTGTCCTGCATGAGGGACTATCTGGAGGAGAAGCAGGACGGAGGGAGATGACCATTACCCCTGACCAGGCAAGATGGGTGGCCGGAGCAGAGTCACCATTGACCCCTGCAGAAAGACAGCAACCAGACTTTGAACATAGGAGGGAAGTGTCCCCCTTTCATGGTTTCAAGCCAAACTGGGCATCCCATAATCCCTATTCCCCATCCAAGATAAAATACCAAAACCAAGCCACAGACTGGTCATTGTCTGTGGATGCAAGTTGGTGCGAGAAATACCTATTGCCTGGCTGTGTGGAGAGAGGCTTAGGGACACCCACAACACAGCGGCCCTCGTGAGCGTAGTGCTACACACATAGCAGAGGAATGAGGTGGCAAAGAGAAATCACACTCAGTGCTTTGGATTGGGATCAGCTAACACAATAGAGAGATTTGTTCAGTTTAAAGTGTATGCAAATCCTAACAATGAACTTCTCTTATTTGCTTCAATTACAATAAGACCAATAGACTGCCATTTGGTACGAGGCAGTGCCTCGCACTATGCTGTCATGCACTGAAAAAAAGTAGTGCATGCATTATTCTTTTTCAGCGCACCGTGCCTGCACACTACTGCAATGTAGTGGTGTGAATGGGGCACACAGGAGACAAGGCATTTTGCCTTGTCATGTGGTGGGACTGCACTGGAATAACCACTTAGCTCAGTCAAACTGCATCTGGTGTGAGTGGACCCTAAACGTTATTTCATCTTACAAGGTGTACTCTTTGTGTCTGAATGAAAAGAGGTTTAATATCCACATAAGCAAAGACTTCTTTATAGTAAGAGCTCTGGCCAACTCAGACGATTGTTTATCTCTTAAAACTGGAAGTGATTTTAAGCATATATAATATAACTGGCTATTAATAATGTTGATCCAGAAATGATTTTTTTCCCCGTTGGAGCAAATGTAACTATGCTTTAAGTATTACAGGTACTTACTGTATATAGTACCATTTATGCAGCACTTTACATGTTGTACATTCACATCAGTCCCTGCCTTCAAGGAGCTTATCATCTAAAGCAGTGGTTGCCATCCTTTCAGACTTCATGGACCTCTAAATTCATAATTTTAAATCCCACGGACTTACTAATGTGAATTTTTTTAAAAAGATAACTACATTTGTAAAATAATGATCAGAGAACTTCCATTTTATTAATATGAAATGCACCTATTTAATATAACAAAATTAAAAATTCTTATTTAATTATAACAATGTTGTAAATGCATATTTAATCGTAACAAAATCTTTAAAGGTTGTTTAATTGTAACAAAAGTATTAAAGTTTGTTTAATTATTACAAAATAATTGAAGCTTATTTAAGTATTACACATTTTTAGTGTGATATTTGAAATAAGTTTATGGATTTTTGGGTCCAATGACATTACTGCAAGACAGAGAGACATTTTTATTTCAAGCCGAGTCCGGTACCGACAATATTGAAGCTTACGGCTCGGTAAAGGTTGCCTCATACAACTGAAGACTACCCTGACATCACACTGCACCTCTCTTGTTTCCCCCTCTCAAGTACAGTTCGTGAATTTAGTGCAATATAAAAGCAAAAATTGTCATTCAGAATATAAAAATTTCTTAGAATATTATTTTTGTTTTATTATTAATAAAACATAAAAAATAATGTCCAGATTTTTCAGTGAACCACCAAAAGTTTCTCACGGACCACCAGTGGTCTACAGACCATCGGTTGGCGACCGCTGATCTAAAGCTCATAACTCACATACTAGAGCCAATTTTCCCATGTCTTTGGCGGGTGGTAGGAAACTGGGATACCCGAAGGAAACCAGCGCAGGCACAGGGAGAACATGCAAACTCCAGGCAGGTAGTGCCGTGGTTGGGATTAAAACTAACAACCCTAGTGCTGCCAGACAGAAGTGCTAACCACTTAACCACTGTGCTGCCATCTTCTAAATCAACTTTAGTTTAGATTTCTGTGGATGCAAGTTGCAATCTTCTTATTCAGCCTTTTACTGGATGACCTATTACAGCCTGTCATGATTATTCTTTTTTTTTTCTTATCTTCTAGTTTCAGCTTCTCATCCTTAACCTGTCACAGTAGTGTAAAGTCAGGACCATTCTCACACTGAGTGATATCTTAACAAACATAGGAGCTCTTCAGCTCACATTACAGCAGCAAGTGAAGAACAGCAGCTTTCCATTAGTGACAGAGATGTCAAAGTGTTACTCTTTAAATGTGTGGCTACCAGCATAAATTTATCCTGACTGCTGTCCCCCACTCTTCTTGCAGAGCCACCCTGGCATTTGGCCAGATATCAAACTTTTTGGTCATGTCGACTTTCTCACACTTTTATAAACTCTAATTGGTACCTTTAGTTTTTTTATTATTTTTAGTTTTATCTGGTTCCTTTGTGTCATTTAAAATGCTGCAAGAAACTAAAGCAGAAAATGTAAACATGTAATATAGAAAATGTGCGACTTACCTGGGTGGATGCAGCATCCGTCCAATGCTGCATTTGTCCCCTGCCATCTCTAAGTGTGAGAATTCAGCGATCACATGATCGGTGATCGCTGAGTTCTCACACCATGGAGGGGGAAGGAGCGGATGGCTCAGGATCTCGGCGCTTTGTTGAGAGGCTGAACCAGGTGCTACTCCGGACTCTGGGGTGGATCCTGACTTTTAAGTCGGGATCTTTCCCCAGACTGGACCAGCTGAGTGACGTCAGCCAACAGTGGACTTCAGTCCGCTTTTCAGATTGAAACATGTGAGCATAAGGTACAGGACTGTCTGGTAAAGTGTTGGATAAAGCTTAGCAAAATCAACCTTCATACTGACATCCTAGAAGTGATTTCAGAATGCAAGGTTCTTCCAATACAAGTTATTCCTTTCTAGCAGTGGTATTTTGGTAAACGTTTCTTTAACATACCAATCGCCATAACAGCTGACATGTAAAAACTTTAAGAGGATCTTCACCCTAGCATGAAAAAATACTGTAGCTGCTGATTTTTAATATAAGGACGCTTACCTGTCCAGGCATTCAGTGCTGTCCTCACTTGGGCTGGTTCTCCAGCCATGTTTGGATCTCTGATATCGGCATGTTTACTGTGGGAAGCCGGCTGTGACTCCTTGCACGAACTGTGCTTTGCTTTCTAAATTGTCCAGCCTTGCGGGACCTGTAACGTCTGTAGGCAAAGAGAGAGGGGGGTAAACTTGGGTATGGGTACCTATCAAAACTGGGTTCCCACACCCCCCAAAATAAATTTAATCTGCCAAACTTAGTAGGTAGGGTAGGGGGAAAGGAGGCGATAAAGTAGAACTTTCCCTTTAGGGTGAAGATACGCTTTAATGTTCATCTTTGTTTGAGCAGATTGGGCATAATCCACTTTGTTGGATGCTGAATATACAGTTTGATGCACTAAGCATGTCTCCAATGCCATGACTCCAAAAACCAAGCACAAAATACGATTGTATTACTTTACACTTGCAACATCACAGCAATTGCACTGATGTTGGCACTTTCATGAATGCTGGTAATTTCAATACACTTAATTCTACTGAAGAGTGCCAGCATTTTTCATGAATGCTGGCAACATAAATTATTTATTTTATAGTTTTCTGTTGACTGAAGTGGGATGGCTCATCCTCCCCATATATGAATGGTGTATACACCTTATATGGTGGTTGCCAGCTGCTTCAGGGGGGTCCTTGTCCCAGTGGGATTGCTGCTTTGTCACAGCTCCCAGGACAGACATATTCTGTGACCGCATCTTTTCTCCCTTTTTCATTTCATGGTTTTAATAGTTTATTGATAATAACCATCCCTTTTTCTTTTGTGATGAGTGCATGTTTTGTAGCCATGTATTCTCCTGATGAAGTGAACATTAATTCACGAAATGCGTTGAGAAAATCCTGATTATGCACATTCAAATGATGTGGTTCAGCTATAAATCTATAGCTCATGCACTACTCATTTTGTGATAAAAACATTTAACCATGAATGTGGATCCAGTTTTTTTAGATGCATTTATATTTACATTTATAAATTAATGCAATAAAAATGTTTGAATTCTCCTTTGGCGTTTTTTGTGAAAATCCCTTGGGCATTTGAGTCTGTATTTTGAATTCTACTGAAGAGTACATGGTGTTTCAGGGGTTGCTTTATTCCAATTTTTAACCAAAAAATCATGTATCATGAGGATACTGTGGGAAGCACAGTCTATAATTACTACACAAAGGATAAGAAGCAGAAGGGTTTCGAGGTAAACCAGAAAACCGGTTTAAGAATAGAGAAGCCTCATAGTTGAGTTATGAGTAGGTATCCTCAGGATAAGGACACTCAACCTCTCTCTTTTGGATGTTTCTTTTATATTACAGAAAATGCAGTAGGAGATATAAGGGAAGACGGGCAGAGCTAGGAATTCTGTCCAAGAGGTTAATTGCATAAGTCCTATGAGATGGGTTGTAAGAGACTCCTAGGAGATATCTCAGCAAATTGTTCTTACTATCCAGCCAAACACTGCCTTAGCTCATTTTGTTCCTTCTCTTGTACTGATTGTATTATGAACTTTGAGCCATTTCATCTTAGTATGAGGCGCACACAGATCTGACCACTGTTGTAACCTGAATTTTAACTACAACCCTTTTATTCAATCACTTTCTCTTTATTCTGTCCACAGAACCTTTTAGATAACAAGCCTTCCCTTCCTGAATACAAAGTAGCTTCTGTCCAGAAACCTCGCTTCATCCTTCTTCATTACAGCATCTTCAAAGCCCTCTGGGACTGGCTTATCCTGTTAGCCACCTTTTATGTGGCTGTCACTGTCCCTTACAATGTCTGCTTCACGGGCCACGATGACAGTGTGTCTGCAGCACGGAGCACTATTGTCAGTGACATTGCTGTGGAAATGCTATTTATTTTAGGTAAGCAAACCGGGCCACACAGCCTTCCTACCATGTACAAAAAGATAATAGTTTTAACCGTAGAGAACAAAAATGGACCATTATTACTACACTGTCGACGACTACAATAAAATTAAATTCAGCAGCAGAAGAAAGAATGGGAGTGACAACAAATTGTAAAAATGAATGATTATATCTTAAAGTTGTTCTAAAGGTTATTTTTTTTTCTTTAAAATAACAAACATGTCATATCTGCTCTGTGTAATGGTTTTGCACAGAGCAGCCCCAATCCTTCTGTTTTGTGGTCTTCCACCAGCACTCCTTGCTCCTCCCCCCTGCTGAGTGCCCCCATAGCAAGCCGCTTCCTCTGAGGGCACTCGTACGTGATTACTTTACTCCCAAGCCAGCTCTTGTGTGTCTATGGAACACACAGAGCATGGCTCAGTCCCATTCCCGCTCCCTCCTCACTGGCTGTGATTGACATCAGCGTGAGCCAATGGCTCCCTCCGCTGTGTCTCAGCCAATGATGAGAGATAGACCCGGGAGAGCTGAGGCTCCCATGCACAGCATTGAATGAAGATTGGGCTCAGCTGAGTATAAGGAGGGGGGAGCTGCAAGCTGTAGGTTTTTTACCTTCATGCATAGAATCCATAAAAGTAAAAAACCTTCACCCTTCACAACCACCTGAAAGTGAATCTGTAAGGTGAAAACCGTATTTGGTAAATGTCCAGGCCCAGACCAGCAAATATGGCAATGCAGCATTTGTCAGAAGTATTTGTCTGTTCAAATCCTACATTTTGGTTAAAAAAAAATTGATCACCACAAGGGTCAGTAAGTAAATTAAATTAGAACAGTCCCTTGTGCTCTTGGCTGCTGTCATGAAATATTCAGTCCTCTACCCCCCCATACCCCCGCAGTTGTAATCTTCTGATATCATGTGGATCAGTATAAGACTGGACTTGTCATATGCACTCGTCAAGAATGCCAACTATGCCCACTATTTCTGCCCCTGCTTCCATTGATAGAAGCTGTACTACAGCTATGAAATGTGCTCTCTGATCAAACGCAGACCTTTCATTCATTCTCCTGTCCTTGTTTCATAGAGCACTTTTCATTAATTGAAGCTATAACACAGCTGCTTTGAATGCAGGAGGAGTTAGAAAGGGTGGACATAGTTGGCAGCCTAGAGGTCAGTATTCACTTGAGCTTGGTGTTGCCCCCATATAGGATTAGGAACAGACCTCTGTCACCTTTGCAAGCTCCAAAACAAAGATACTTTGATATTTCAAATCATCCAGGGTTCATTTATTAAAACATTTCAAAGAACAGTAATAGTGCTACCAAAATGTTGGTGGTTTCATTCAAAGTTTTGGAAATCTCTCTCTCCAGATAGCAGTAGAAACGTGATAGAGATTCTAAACCTTTACTGGCTTTATCAAAAAAAAAAAAACGTTTTGCAGAACATACCTTCTTCTTTGCTCTACCCAACCATGTATGAAAGATTTGTATGCTAAGTGTTTCTTCGGAGACAGTAAAACCTTACATTTCTAATTTTACAGATATAATTTTGAATTTCCGGACTACATATGTCAGTCATTCTGGACAAGTGGTGTATGCTCCACGCTCTATCTGTATCCACTACCTCGCCACATGGTTCTTTGTGGACCTCATTGCTGCTTTGCCCTTTGATCTTCTCTATGCATTCAACGTCACAGTGGTAAGAGAAACAAAAACAGCACATCCATATTACTTTAGGAACAGACTTCTTTCCTTCACATAACTAATACTAAGTATTTCCAGATCATAATAGTGTAAAGTGTCTAAAGAATACCACATTGTTCAGTGCACAGACCACTGTTATCTAATCACCAAAGATTTTCTCTTTTTCCAAAAAATCATGAAAGACATCTCTGGTACACTTACTGAAGACGGTTCGACTATTGAGACTACTGAGGCTATTGCAGAAGCTGGACCGATATTCCCAGTACAGTGCCATGGTGCTAACACTTCTGATGTCCATGTTTGCTCTGCTGGCTCACTGGATGGCCTGTGTCTGGTATGTTATTGGGCGCAAAGAGATGGAAAGTAACGATCCTGTCACCTGGGACATAGGTAAGCACTAATTAACACTTTCATCTGATCTGAAATTTTTGTTTGTAATTCATGTGTATGGGCAGGTCTATGCAAAGGCTGTGTCGAGGAAAAATATGATTTTAAAGATGATTATGTTTTTGTTGCATTGTTCTGCCATATACACAACCTAATTTTTCCCTTGTGTTGCAACTTGTCACGCTAAAACATTAATAAATCCTGTAAAGACAGTTGAGCTTTTCAACATAACTTATAACTCTAAAATGATAAAATCATGTAGGTAGTAAAAAATAATTGAGTACTAGAAATGAGCAAACTTCTAACAACAATCTCTTCAGTCAGCCAACAAGCACTGGTAAATTCATGTCAGATATGTTAACCACTAGCCTACAGGGCACTTATACCCCCTTCCTGCCCAGGCCAATTTCCAGCTTTCAGCGCTGTCGCACTTTGAATGACAATTGCGCGGTCATGCAACACTGTACCCATATGAAATTTGTATCATTTTTTTGTGATAGATAGAGCTTTCTTTTGGTGGTATTTAATCACCTCTGGGTTTTTTTGTGTTTTCTTAAACAAACCAAAAACCACAGAAAATTTTGAAAAAAAAAACATTTTTTTCTTAGTTTTTGTTATACAATTTTGTAAATAAGTGATTTTTCTCCTTCACTGATGTGCGCTAATGAGGCTGCAGTGATGGGCAGTGATAGACTTCACTGATGGACACTGATAGGTGGCACTGATGAGGAGGCACTGCTAGGTGGCACTGATGGGCATTGACAGGCATCACTGATGGGCACTGAAAGGCAGCACTGATATATGGTATTGTTAGGCGGCACTGACTGGCACTGTTAGACGGCACTGACTGGCACTGATAGGTGGCACTGCTGCACACTGATAGGTGGCACTGACTGGCACTGACAGGCGGCACTGACTGGCACTGATAGGCGGCACTGACTGGCACTGATTGGCATTGATAGGTGGCACTGACTGGCACTGATGGATGACACTGAAAGGCAGCTCAGATGGGCACTGATATGTGGCATCGATGTGCACTGGTATGCACTGATATGTGGCATTGATAGGCACTGGCACGTGGCACTGATCGGCACTGGCAGCTGGCTCTGATGGACTTTGACAGGTGGCACTGCTGGGGCTACACTAATCATCAGGGCACACTGATCATCAGTGCCCTGATGATCAGTGTACATGTCCCCTCTGCGGAAAGCCGATTACCGGCTCTCCTCTCTTCTCGAGCTGTCAGCATGACAACTCAAGAGGAGAGAAATGCCGATAACCGGCATTTCCGTGTTTACATGTGATCAGCTGTGTTTGGACACAGCTGATCACATGACCGAGCCAACATCTTCGGCTCTTTCCATGATCGGTGATCCGCTGTGTCCGAGAGACACAGCGCACCACCAATCGCCGCGCTGTGCGCTCCCTGAGCCGCGCATGCGCGGTGAGAATGGGAGGACGTCATATGACATCCTCTCAGAACGAGAGAACCACCTTGCTCCCGTAATTGGACTATATGGTGGGTGCGAGGTTGTTAACCACCTCAATACAAACAGTTTTCATTGCTGTGATAGTCTGACTGATAATTACTTAACTTGTGTTGTCGTTTTTATTTTTTGTACAATAAAAAAGTATACTTTTTTATAAACGTTTTTTACTAAACTTTTTTTTAAAGTTGCTTCCCTTCTTCCACTTTCTTTTTTAAATCATACCAAATTAAAATGCCAAGACATTACCAACAACCCCAAAATGACCCCTTTTGGAAATTGGACACCCCAAAGTAATTTTATTTCTTGCCACATTTTTTTAAATGAAGAAACATCTTGGTATTGAGCTGGTTAAGGTGCGCTTAGCCTTTAAAAGTCTAAAGCCATGTGCGGGGACATCGTGATTAAGGTGCTAGACGGCAGAAATCTTTTAAAAGAAGAGCTTGTTCCTCATGGTGTTTGAGGGACACGACTTTCAAGATTAGTTGTGAATATTTATCTAGGATGATATTGAGAGCAAAAACACCCATCTTTCTACCTCTTTCACTATTAAGAAACATTTCTTTATTTTTTTTACTGACTCATTAAAACTCTCCAAACTTGGTTCTCAGTTCACCTGGTCTGACACTCAAAATATGACATTTTGCTAGACATGCCTTTCTAGGCTTGAAGGTGCTCTTCCACTTCCCAGAGAAGGGGGTGGGGTGTTTATTAATTTTTGCAGACAGGTTTAACAACATGCATCTCCAATCTTTGTATAGAACAATTATATTCCATTGTTACACAATGGAGTATCGTTCCCTGGTCCTTTTTTTGTTTCATATTAATTCAACTCCATGAAGCCCTGTTGAGTCTTTTGGATGAAGGTGTCATTGACCCAGTAACTGTGGCAAAATGGTTTCAAGGGTTTTACTTAATTTTTTTCAACGCATACCCATAGGGAACATTAGCTCCATCTTGGATTTCAAAGTTCTGAATGTCTTAATTTCAATCTTGAAATTGTGCATGAAATCTACCATATCTGTCATTGCCCTTCTTCACCAGAGAGATGCTCTGACCTCTGTGGACATCAAAGATGCTTATCTACATCCCCCATCTTTCCAGTGCATCAGTGATTCCTACTGTTTTCTGTGGGGCAACAGCAAAACCAGTTTGTGGCCCCACCCTTTGGGGCTTCTTGTCTGCACCTCTGGAGTTCACTAAGGTGCTAGCCCTGGTGTGCTTTTGTGACATCTTTATTGTGGGATACTTAGATGACCCCTGTTGAGTAAACAGTCGGCTAGGCTCTTTCGAACAGCATAGCCTTGACTTCCAGAATTTACGGTGGATCGTGAGCCTTCATTGTAAATGAACTGACATGTCGTGAACTTATGTTTGACTTGTTTCTGACCTAGCATTTACCGGCAACAAGGTTTCATGCTGATTTAAGTGCTCAGGAATTTAACTCTGGAAACTGGGTGTTTAGAAATTAAGCTCTGGAAACAGGGAAGTCCTTTTTCTGGAAGGATCTTTACAATGGATGCCAGCCTGTTGAGTCCTAGGCACCCTGCCAATGTGCAGATGTCCTATGTCCCAAACAACATCCTAGAGCTTTTGATAGTTTGGTTGTGTCTTCAGAATTGGACCATCCTAGTTGAAGATCATCCATCCTGGATTCATTCAAACAGTGCCACAGTAGTGGCATACATCAATTATCAGGAAGCAAGCAAAAGTCTTACAAGAGTGGTAAAGCAAATCCTGTCCTGGGAAAAAACTTCACGTTCCAGCCTTGTAAACTGTGTACATTTCAGGTGTAGACAATTGGCAGTTGCCCCTAAAGGTAGCACCTGAACCCAAGAAAGTGGTCCCTGCACCTTAAGGGGATCCTTGACCTCCATCGCTGTCTTTCCCCCCATAATTAATTATACATTTTGACTCTTTTGCAGGATTGAGAAGGAGAGCATTCTGGTGATCTTCATTGCTCTGAAAAGTCCAAGTAGATGTGGTATGCTGTGTAAGACTCCTGGCAGATTTTCAGTGGACTCTGCAAGATTGTCAGGCTTTTATGAAGTAAGGGCCAAAATGTCTCCATGCTTCACAGTCCCTGGCTTTACGAACATGGTTATTGCAGACCAGGTTGTGAAGTACAGAAGCATCTCTTCATCTGTGATTCCTATGATGCTAAAAACTAGGAAGGCTATTTCTGCAAGATCTATCATCAGACTTCATAGTTTATTTGTGGGACAAATCCTCTTCATCCTGCAGCTGGGTTTGGAGCAGCGCTTGGCTTTCAAAATTATAAAGGGCAAGGTTTCCACCCATTCTATCTTTTTCAGAAAATGTTGCTCTTTCTCTCCTTGATTAGGACCTTTGTACAGGCAATCCTTTATGTAGTTATGACTAAGGCCTCTGTAGGAGGCTGAAACGCTTCAATATTTACAGGCATTGATTCCTCTTTTATGTGATGGATAAAATAAATTTGTATTTTTATATTTTTTGAGAAGTCATGGTGCTAGGATTTTCACTTCTATATTGGATGTCACAACGCTATAGTACTGCAGTTATCCAGGCACACTCCTTTCTATCCCATTCTGATGATTGCTGTGGGCTGTTGGGGTTGCAGCACTATTTCCACTGCTATATAACATTTTATGTAGCTCTTCTGGTCCATTCTCCCGTGACTCCATGGGATCTAAATATGGTTCTTTCTTTCAAATAAACCAATATTTGAACCTATGACAGACATCACTTTCTTTACTCTCACCCATAAGGTGGTATTCCTTATTCTGATCACCAATGCAAGCTGAGTTTCTAAAATGGTGGCTTAACCCTGAAAAGAAACCCTTTCTAGCTTCACGTAGAGATGAGCTGGTGTTGAGACCCAGGACTTCCTCTTTGCTTAAGTTAGTTTTTGCCTTTCACATCATCTATACATGGACATCATTTTGCCATCCCTCTGCCTAGTTGCACTTCCAATGGAAATTATATTTTTGTCATCCCAGATAGACCCCAGAAAAGTGCTTTGGCTTCTTGTCCCACTATCTTTAGCTGACTCAAGCAGACTATCATCCAAATCTGTGGTCTTTGTGGTTCCACCCCTTCTTGCAAGGCACACTCCACTGGATCTATGAGTGTTTAATCAGCATCAAGCAAACTTTCCCAGTTTGCAAGGCTACCCCCTGATCCTCTGTTTTTGTTTTTCTATGTTCTGCCAAGCAGGCATTTAGGCCTTATTTCATGCCAGCGTTGTGTTCTTCGGGAGGCTATTTGATCTGCCCAGCCTTCAATTGGGCAGCTTTTGGATGTCCCGACAGTCTAAGAATTCAGACAGGTTGTTCTTAATGACATTGGCTGCATGTTTGGGGTTGTTGTCCTGCTGTAGAAAGAAATTGGGGCCAATCACATGCCTCCCTGATGGTATGGCATGATGGATAAGTATCTGCCTGTTTTTCTCAGCATTGGGATACCATTGATCCTGACCAAATGTCCAACTCCATTTGCAGAAATGCAGCTCCAAACTTGCAAATTTTGTTAATTAATAAAAATAAACTATAACACCTCTATTTCTGAAAGCATTCCTAAATTTACATCATTTTTTCACACATGCCTTAATCTTTTGCACAGTATTGTATGTTAAATCATAGGGCTTGTATTGAGATATGTATTTGGATGTGGCCAAAACGGCTACAATCCAAATAAGTAGCAAATTTAAGAAAAGCAGAAAAAGTCCATGAATTTGTGTACACAGCATACAGGTAATATAAAAACACATACACTCCACACATAAAGCAAAAAGCATGTTGCAGTTCAGCACAAAACATACATGGGGAAAATGCCTGAAGGCACAAGGCTTAATCCAAAGAGCCTTTGTAACTGCAGACAGTCACTGTGGAGGAGATTTACTAAAACTGCTGCACGCAGAATCTGGTGCAGCTGTGCATGGTAGTCAATCGGCTTCTAACGTTAGCTTGTTCAGTTATGCTTTGGCAATAAAGACTGGAAGCTGATTGGTTTCTATGCAGAACTGCACTAGATTTTGCACTTTCCAGTTATAGCAAATACCCCTTGTGTGTGTTTGTCTGGAGTATTGTTAGTTTTGCACATTTGCATACAGGTAATGTAAACTGTATATAGTGCATACATTTCCTTGAACATTGGGGAAAAAAGTTATTTAAGGTTACTATGTTTTGAAGAAGTGATGTCACACAACTACAAAGAAGGGAAGTTAATGTAACTTGTGAGTACTCTTCTCCATGCACTGGATACTTCATGCACAGCTAGTAAGAATACACTTACATCCAGGGGCGGACTGACAATTTGGAAACTCTGGCACTGCCCTAGGGCCTGGGGTCAGTAGGGGGCCCCATGAGATGCCCCTGGTACCTTTTTCATAGGCTTTTTTGAGTTTGGGACATGGGCCCCATGATCCCCTATTGCCCAGGGGCCCCATGAGTTGTCAGTCCACCCCTGCTTACATCTCCAAAATAATGTGAATGAAATTTGGGACAAGAGTGGCTGGTCCAAATTTGTGACATTGAGGTGAATTGTCAATGGTAACTTTTATTTCCCTGTTCAACTAATCCTTCTTTGGAAAAGATGTTCTTTAAACTCAGTTGTACATATGGAATATAACAGATATTTGACAATGTGCACATTAAATTAAAACTCTTGATCATTCTATCCCCACAGGCTGGCTTCATGAACTGGGCAAGCGACTTGAAGTACCCTACATCAATAATTCTATTGGTGGACCCTCTGTTCGCAGTGCTTATATAGCATCCCTCTACTTTACCCTCAGCAGCTTGACTAGCGTGGGTTTTGGTAATGTCTGTGCAAATACAGATGCTGAGAAGATCTTCTCCATTTGCACTATGTTAATAGGAGGTAAGACTGGTCTAGGCTGTTGTATCAATAATGTTTTCAAAATTACCATTGCTTAGGTATTTTGCATCCCCAGATACACGTTTCTGGGGTGCCAGTCAAAACACTTGCTATCTAACTACTGCATAGCTCGTAAAGTAGAACTCCAGCCAAAACTTTTTTGCATTGGATAGAGTAGAGAAGGGTTAGATCTACTGCCAGGGTTTTAGCGCTGTCTGATTTGTTGTTGGGGGAATTGGCTCCATACAGAAAGCAAAGGAAAATCTGCAACTGGGGCACATACAGCAATTAAAAGCTAATAGGGATTCTAGCCTCTAACTATTCTACAAAAAAAAAAATCTAAAAATTGCTGTCTGTGTCCTGTTGATTTTTTTTTTATCTTCCTGTTTATAGTGAGAGGAAACTTTTCCATACTCTATAAAAACAAACTAGAAAAAAGGGGTAAGGGCTCTTTCATATGGAGCAGTGTCCACTCTGATCAGCAGGGTATCCATGAGCAGATCCCTTGCTGAATTGGAGCCAAAGGGGACAAATGTTAGTTTTTTCTACATCTGTGCCCAATTAGTTTGTGTCCAGAGGACATGGATGAACCCATGATAGCTCTATGGGCGGCTGGATGTAAACGGACTCCGTTGTCTATTTACATCAGGCTATATCTGATCCATCGTGTTTAGGTTGGTAAAAATGGAAACGGATGTAGTGCTTTTCCATTTTTTTTCTGAACCTTGACGGACTTGGAGGTAAGCTTGTGTAAACAGATACCAATCCGTTTACATCCACCTGCTCACAGAGCTTCATGGACCTTTTATGTGAAAGGGCCCTAAAAAATATTGTATATGTTACCCTAACATCGGTTTTCAGTATCCAACTCTCTCCTAAGCCTCTTAATAATTTCTAAAGAAAAATGTTAATATGCACTATATTGCCAAAAGTTTTGGGACACCCCTCCAAATCATTGGATCCAGGGGTTCCAATCACCTCCATGGCCACATGCGTATAAAATCAAGCACTTAGGCATGCAGACTGCTTCTACAAACATTTGTGAAAGAATGGGTCGCTCTCAGTGAATTCAAGCGTGGTGCCGTGATCGGTTGCCACCTGTGCGATAAGTCCAATCCATGGAATTTCCTTGCTACTAAATATTCCACGGTCAACTGCTAGTGGTATTATAACAAAGAAACTGGGAACAACAGCAACTCAGCCACAATGTGGTAGGCCACGTAAAATGACAGAGCAGGGTCAGCGCATGCTGAAGCGTACAATGCGCAGAAGTCGCCAACTGTCTGCAGAGTCAATAACTAAAACCTCCAAACTTCATGGAGAGCTTCATGGAATGGGTTTCCATGAACGAGCAGCTGCATCCAAGTCTTACATCACTACGTGCAATGCAAAGCGTCAGATGCAGTGGTGTAAAGCATGCAGCCAGGGGATTCTAGAGCAGTGGAGAGGTTTTCTCTGGAGTGATATATCACGCTTCTCTGTCTGGCAATCGATGAACGTATCTGGGTTTGGTGGTTGCCAGGAGAATGGTACTTGCCTGACTGCATTGTGCCAAGTGTAAAGTTTGGTGGAGGGGGGGTTATGGTGTGGGGTTGTTTTTCAGGGGTTGGGCTTGGCCCCTAAATTCCAGCGAAGGGAACTCTTAAGGCATCAGCATACCAAGACATTTTGGACAATTTCATGATCCCAACTTTGTGGGACAGTTTGAGGACGGCCCTTCCTGTTCCAACATGACTGCGCACCAGTGCACAAAGCAAGGTCCATAAAGACATGGATGACCGAGTTTGGGGTGAAGAAAATTGACTGGCCTGCATAGAGTCCTGATCTCAACCTGATAAAACACCTTTAAGATGAATTAGAGCAGAGACTGTGAGCCAGGCCTTCTTGTCCGACATCAGTGCCTGACCACACAAATGCTCTTCTGGATGAATGGTCAAACATCCCCATAGACACACTCCTAAACCTTGTGGACAGCCTTCACAGAAGAGCTGAAGCTGTTATAGCTGCAAAGGGTGGGCCAACTCAATATTGAACACTGCGGACTAAGACTGGGATGCCTTTAAAGTTCATGTGCGTGTAAAGGCAGGCGTCCCAATACTTTTGGCAATACAGTGTATCTAGCATACAGATATTATTTCTTCATATGCTGTTTAAACAAGCTGACCAGTGCATGTTTTACAGCTTGCTGATGTGTGGGGAAGCGGGGCAGAATGTACTATGTGTTTATTTAGTATTTAGCAGTAAAACCAATGAATTGATTTTGGTGTTATTTTTTAAAACAAAACAGTAATGTATTTTTTTTGGCTCCTGGGTGACTTTTATAGATTGAAAATGGCTTGTACTAAAGAATGAAGGCAGAACGATTCACAGCTGTAGATAACTATAAGAAACCATTTTTGTTGTGTTTTTCATCTTATATCCCTTTACAACTTAATATGGTTAAGATCAAATACTTTATAAATTGGCAGATTTCTCACTTTAGCATTGTCCGAACACAATATGATATAAAAAGGGACACTAATACTTTTTATATTTCTTTCATAATGTTGCAGCTCTGATGCACGCTGTAGTTTTTGGTAATGTAACAGCCATAATCCAACGTATGTACTCCCGACGTTCCCTTTATCACACCCGCATGAAGGACCTCAAGGATTTTATCCGTGTTCACCGCCTTCCTCAACAGCTCAAACAGCGTATGTTGGAATATTTTCAGACCACATGGTCTGTCAACAATGGCATTGATGCCAATGAGGTAAGAGCCCTTTAGGGATGGAAGGAATTACATAATTCTGGGAAATTAAAAAATAATGTTGCTATAGGTTATTGCTGGTTTAAATGAAGATTCAGTCTTGTTGATATTTAAAAAGAATGTACCTCGGTTTTGTACAATATTTATTTGTTACTGTCAGGTCAAATGTTTTCTGTTCCTTACTCAGGTGAATACGAAATACATTGTGGAGGAGATTTACTAAAACTGGAGCACTCAGAATCTGGTGCAGATGTGCATTGTACGCATTCAACTTCTTACTTAAGCTTGTTCAATTAAGCTTTTACAAAAAACCTGAAAACTGATTGGTTTCTATGCAGAGCTGCACCAGATTTTGCACACTCCACTTTCTGTAAATCTCCCTCATTGCATGGTTACTATTATTATTATTATTATTATTATTATTATTAACAATAATAATAATAATATTGCTTATGGAAATGGATGGAATGAATTAATCACAGCAGTTACTCCTCCTATATCAAAGAGTTCAGTACTAAGTTTTAATTGGGCAATGGAAGCTGCAAAGCAAGCTTTGTTTGCTATGCCATCTACTTAGCTAACTCCTGATGCTTTGGTAATAATTTATTATGTATTAAATGTTTATTTTTAAAACAAAGATTGTATATAATAAAACAGTATAAAAATAAATACATATAAATACAATGTAATCAAATCCAATACAGTTTCCTTTTAGTAGACCGTGATCTAGCTCTGCTATCTTTTACCTATTTGGCCAAAGACAAGGTTTGTCTCTTGTCTTTTCATAAAGAGAACCTATGATTCTTCACATTCTGTCTAGAAACAGCAAAAACGGAACCATATTACCTTCTTTAATCCACCACTCAATCACTGATCATTACATACATCAGGGCTTAAAATTTTGAGTCTAGACCTACTAGCCAGGCACAAACCTTACTCTCCACCAGTTGCCCCACCCAACCTTGCCCAGGTCCGCCTCCAACCCACCCCTGGCCCATCCCAACCCCGCCCCCAGCACTGCCCCCAACCACGCCCCCTTAAAGCTTATGAAATTACATTTTTCTTTAGAATAGAGTCTAATAGAAAGCTGGTTTACATAATGAAGTCTCATAATGGATAAGAGGCCAGACTGAGCCTAGAACCTAATTTATGAAACCTATGTACACGTGTAATGTGTATTCACAGAATCTCTGTTATTATATTAGAAAGTCACATAACACATTTTCTGCCATTAAAGTATTAAAAAAGGACACAACGTGTTAATAACTGGATGTAAGGTCTATCCATAGACATAGGATGATTGTCACCGAATCCTGGCAGATTGCCAGAGGCATCCCCTGGTGACCATTTGTTGCATATACTATGTGTATGTTCATGTCACTGATGTGTAAAGGTATGACACCATGTCTGGTGAAGACAACTCAGTATTCTAAAAAGCTTGCACTAAAGTATATTAGGTTAGCTAGCAAAAAGGTGTTGCTTACATTTTCACATCCTTTCTACTATCTATGGCTAACATGGCATATTATTATTACCGTATTGAGTACAGACACCAAGAGAAAGCACTATGCAAGTTTTCAGGTACTACTAAAAGCTATACAACATGTACAATAGGGTGTTTAATAAAAGATTAAACTTTATAAAAACTGTAGGAGTAGAGGATGGACCTCTAACCGTACACAAAGAATGTACAAATAACCATACATAAACTGAACAAAATTTCCGCAGACCATACCCAAAAATACTTCAAGGTCCCCCAAGCGGTGGAGAGCGGGCCTCTCCTTGTGTCCCCCATGGCGGTGGAGAGCGGACCTCTCCTCGATTCTTCTGCGTCGGTGGAGAGGGTGTCTCCTCTCAGCGGAGGAGAGTGGACCTCTCCTGCACCTGTCCCCTCAGCAGCACTGCCAGTGTAATGGTGGTGCCGAAGAAGCCGGAAACCGGAAGTTGGAAACCGGAACGCGACTTCACAATGAGGCTTGGAGCACAGGTGCAGCTGCTCCATCCATCATCTGTGCTTGCCGCTCGCCACACAGGTATTTCTCCTCACATTTGGCGAGCGTTTTTTTCAAGCACTGACATACATAACAGGTTAATACATTACAATGGACACACTAATGCTCGCTATATACTGTATGTGCACAATGGATTATTACAGGTAGGAATGATCTTATTGCTGGTTCACAAATATGCAGATTGGATGCGGTTCTAACCGCATCCAATTAGCATGACATAATAAACAATATTGCTTCCTATGGTGCCTGTTTACATATGTCCGGTGCACTAGCGGTGCAGATTCAGTGTGAATTGAAAAAGAGTCCTGTCCAATTTCTGAGCAGTGCGGTCCGGTTCAGGTGTGGCTTACAGGCTATTGACTTCTATGGGAACCGCCTCTAAATGGCACATGTCTTCAGTTGTGAACAGGATTTCAGTTCAGGATCAGATTTCAGCACAGTTTGCTCTCCCACCCCCTACGCTCCACCTCAGCAAAACCAGAAAAGCCTTGCAAAACCGCATCCAAACCAGCCCTGAACCTGTGAACAGTACAATGTGCACCTGTGTCACGCAGCTGAACTGGCCCTGCACACCACTGAACAAGTAGATTGCAATCTGCACTGAAACCGGACCTTGAAATCTGGAATGCACATGTGTGAATTGGCACTTATCTGTAAGAGCCGGTTCACACATATGCAAATTAAATGCATTTTGAACATCCAGTTCACATGACATGTGAAAGAACATTGTTTTCTACTGTGACTGTTGATCTATGACTGGTGCAACTGGAGTGTGGATTTAGTGCGAATTGCAAGAGTCCTGTCAGTTTTCTGAGCAGCGCGGTCTATCTTAGGTGCAAATTCAGGCTCGTTGATTTCTATGGGAACACTTGTGAATTGCATGTTATTCAGTTGTGAACAGGATAAAATCCTGACCTGATCCTGATGTAAACCAGATCTGAAATGCTGAACAACTACTTTGTCAATTAGCTGTGAAAAATGAGCTTCAATCCCTACCACACATGTGTGAATCCACACTCAGAGATTAAGTCAATCTCCATTATCATTTGAAGCAAAACCAATCATACAAGATCTGTATGCACCTGTTGCTGTGGCGGTTGTGATTATATCTTCTATCTTGCCTATTTGAATGTTAATTATATCTTCCAGTTTGTAAAGTCGCCAGATGGCTGTAAAGAGGCCTATTATCACTAGAGAAGCTCTAAAACAACTCTGCTTTCACTATGCCCATATTTGAGCACTTTTACTTCTCCACACCAATGTGCACAAGGGAACTACAAAGGTGGATCTATTTTGCCACAGGAAAATGGGTGATAAGGGCTATCTTGAATGTAATTTCTCCAGTTAGGAAAACATAATACTAATATTATGGGCAAAATCTGTTCCAGCTGTGCATGGTAGCCAGTCAGCTTTCAACATCAGCTGGTTCAATTAAGCTTTGACAATAAAACCTGGAAGATGATCGGTTTCTATGCACCAGATTTTGCACTCTCTAGTTTTAGTGAATCAACCCAATAGTGTTTGGCTCTAAACTTGGTCACCATCTGTCTACCCCAAATTTATCCACATGCTGTAAAATGCAAAGAATGATGTATAAATTAAACAAATATGAATTGCCTAAAAGCAATGTGAAAAGCCAAATCTGTGATCAAAAATGATATGAAACCTGGATTAAAGTGGTCCTCAAAATGTTTTTACCTAATGCATTCCCTGCATTAAAGTGAAACTTTAGGCAGCAAATTAAATCCTACTAGATCACTTAAGGCTGGCCCCTTTTACAGGTACAACTACACTATATTGCCAAAAGTATTGGGACACCCCTCCAAATCATTGGATTCATATGTTCCAATCACCTCCATGGCCACAGGTGTATAAAATCAAGCACCTAGGCATGCAGACTGCTTCTACAAACCTTTGTGAAAGAATGGGTCGCTCTCAGGAGCTCAGTGAATTCAAGAGCAGTACCGTGATAGGTTGCCACCTGTGCAATAAGTCCATCTGTGAAATTTCCTCGCTACTAAATATTCCACGGTCAACTGTCAGTGGTATTATAAGCAAAGTGGAAGCAACTGGGAACAGCAGCAACTCAGCCACCAAGTGGTGGGCCACATAAAATGACAGAGCGGGGTCAGCGCATGCTGAAGCACACAGTGCGCAAAAATCGCTGTCTGCAGAGTCAATAGCTAAAGACCTCCAAACTTGGCCTTCAGATTAGCACAACAACAGTGTGTAGAGAGCTTCATGGAATGGATTTCCATGGCCGAGCAGCTGCATCCAAGCCTTATATCACCAAGTGCAATGCAAAGCATTAGATGCAGTGGTGAAAAGTATGCCACCACTGGACTCTAGAGCAGTGGAGACGTGTTCTCTGGAGTGATAAATCACGCTTCTCTGTCTGGCAGTCCGATGGATGTGTCTTGGTTTGGTGGTTGCCAGGAGAACAGTACCTGACTGTCTGCATTGTGCCAAGTGTACAGTTTAGTGGATGGGGGGATTATGGTGTGGGGTTGTTTCTCAGGGGTTGGGTGAAGGAAACTCTTAGGGCGTCAGCATACCAAGACATTTTGGACAATTTCATGCTCCCAACTTTGTGGGAACAGTTTGGGGATGGTCCCTTCCTGCTGTATGTTTCTTGCCAAAGAGCATTATTTTTTTTAGAAAGTTGTTATTGGTAAAGTTCCACTTTAACTTCTTCGTGCCTAAGGGTAAAACAAATCTTAAAGCATAAGTACAATTTTACAACTTTGGCATGTGTTAGCAAAACCGTACATATCATCACAACCACTTTGTACATCCAGGTGAATTATATCAATATATTATATTATATAATGGATATCTCCTCATTTTTTTTATTGTCAATGGAAAAGTGACCCAAAATAGTAAAAAAAAAACATCCCAGGACAGCTTAGTAAAAAGCGTGACTGTCCTGGCAAATCCGGGACAGTTGGCAAGTATGATGTAATGCAAGATTATCATGGGGCCCCATGCATCTGAGGCCCCTGGGCAGTGTCCAGGGGTACCCATACATTAAGGCAGCTCTGCACTAAAGGCAGGGGGTCATTGGCTCTTGTTGCTGTCAGTCAAACTCCACCGATGCCGTGAGTTCAAACAACTGCTAAACCACATAACTGCATTCATGTATATATGCCCTTATTCAACGTATACATAGTTTGATTCCAACTGATTGGTTAGCAAAACTATTGATTTGATTGGTCAGTATAGTACTGTAAAGTAATACAAGTAATTATAATGTACCAGTTGTGAAAGACAGCCACAAATGAGTACAGCAACAGCCAATTTCAATGGAATTCTTGCAGGTGTGCCTTACATAAGGCACTATTTAAGTCCCATTTTTTTAACCCATACATGAAGATTGAGGAGCCAAGGATGTGGGTAGTATCCTAAGTACTAATTTAGAAATTAGACTCTACAAACATTAAGGCTAGTGGTGATGAACTATAGACCCAGGCCATGCCTTGTTAGCCAACAGCGTTATCTTTGCTCAGGCCTAGACTGGCCATATTTTCAGAGTATGATCTGTATGACAAATAATCATTTTTTATATACAAATAACTTCATTTTACTCTTACAGCTACTGAAGGATTTTCCAGACGAGTTACGTGCAGATATAGCAATGCACCTTAACAAGGATATCCTGCAACTCCCTGTGTTTGAGCCGGCCAGCCGTGGGTGCCTGCGGGCACTCTCCCTGCACATCAAGACTTCCTTCTGTGCTCCTGGAGAATACCTCCTGCGCCAAGGGGATGCTTTGCAAGCAAATTATTTTGTCTGTTCCGGCTCAATGGAAGTTTTGAAGGACAATATGGTGCTGGCAATTCTTGGTGAGAACGCATTCATAGTTGAAAGAAAAACTGGCATTATATAGTTGACAAAATGATAAATATAGTGGGCTAGGCTAGAAACGGTAGAAATAAATCAGTTGAAGAATATACAAAATTTTCATTTTTATCCATTTAAAATTCAGCCAAATAATTAGTTAAATAAGTATATGGAACTGCTCGCCTAATTGGTTAAAGTACATGTAAACCCTCACCTTGTAAAACAACCCATTCAGTTTAAAACAGAAAAGAAAGGCAAAGCATTTGTATATACTTATATAAAATATTATACATATCCTCTTTTCCCTTTTTTTAAGAAATACCCTCTGTTGTCAGCTTCATATGGATCTTAAAGAGTTGGGGGGGGGGGGGGAGTAAACAACAGCACACTAGTCTTCCCATTGAATGGCTGTGCAGGGAGGGGGGGGGGGATGTATCGGCACAGAAGAGAGCAGGCTGAGTTCCCAACAAAGCCAGAGAACTGACCATTCTGTGTTCTCATGCCTATTGTGGTCAGTTTTAACAGGAAAGCAGAGGGGCTGGCAGGAACACCAGGAATTTCACACAAAGGAAGCAATAAAAAGAGAACAGGATACTTTTTCATAAAAATACATGGTACAGCAGGCACATATCAGGAATATGAAATGTTGGGTTTAGATATTCTTTAAGCTTAGAAGCTACACAGACTGAACACAACACATATTTTCTGTCTGTTGGTCCTTTGCTAGGCACAGGGACTAAATCAGGTAAACAAAATACATTTTCTCCTTTACACCCTACACAAGCTCCCAGGATTGTCCAACATACAGTTCCAACCCTTGGTATATCCAATAGCTACAGTTGCAAGAAAAAGTATGTGAACCCCTTGGGATTACGTGGAGTTTTGCATGAATTGGGCATAAAATGTGCTCTGAACGTCATCTAAGTCACAACAATAGAAGAAACACAGTCTGCTGAACATAATACTACACAAACATTAGATGTTGCCATGGTTTAATTGCACACAACATGTAAACATTCACAGTGCAGGGAGGAAAAAGTATGTGAACCTTTGGACTTAATAACTGGTTGACCCTCCTTTGGCAGCAATAACCTCAACCAAACGTTTCCTGTAGTTGCAGATCAGACCTGCACAACGATCTGGAGTCATTTTGGACCACTCCTCTTCACAAAACTGTTTCAGTGTAGCAATATTCTTGGATGTCTGGTGTGAATCGCTCTCTTAAGGTCATGCCACAGCATTTCAATCGGGTTGAGGTCAGGACTTGAGTGACAGCTCTGAGTCTGCGGGGGCTGCTGACGTCACATTCAGGATAGCGGCACCTAGCAGTAGTTTGAGGACTTTTGGATATCTACATAAGGGAGGATTTTGCAGGTAAAGAACACGCATACAATGTGTTAAAGGAACATATAATATTTTGGAGATATTTCTGTTGAAATGAATAGTCTAGAGACAGGGTCCCTTTCAGTCACACTTTAGCCATAACTTCCCAGCTCGCACCGCTCACTACTCTAAGTGCAGCTGCTCCATAATATTGGCTGGTAATAATTTTTCCCTTTTAATGTGCATTTCTTTACTCTGTTTTCATTTTGCTTCACTCTTTTACTTGCACCTACATGCCCTTTGTATGCTTACGTTTTCTTTTTATTCTATTTATGCTTTTCTTATTTCTATTCTGTGCATCACATTTACCTTTCTTTCTGCCCAGCTACCTTTTCTTAAATTGCTTTATACATTGGATTTAAATTTCCTCTTCAACCATTAGGGCACAGTCGGAACTTAATTATTTTTTTCTTCTTGCACACTTGCAGTGTTGCTGCTTTAACCTAAATCCTCTATGCATGCACCTAGCAGCTCCCTGCTGTCCTGGCTCCCACTCGTCCCCTAGGTGGAGCCCTCCTGACTCCTGGGCAGAGACTTCCTCTATGTACCAGAGCAGAGCTGTGAACCATAGCTATGTCTCTAATAAATGCCTTCCACACACCTGCATAATCAGTGTGCTGGTTGTGTGCAAATCCTGAACCCAGGATTAGACACTTCATCCCTCCCAGGTCTCTACAAAGCCTCTAGACTCCAGGTCCCAAGCCAGCTTTTACCAACCTGTGAGGAAACTGAAAATCAAGTTTTCCCTGTATAAGACAAGCACCCTTTACACCGCGGTCACATCGGGTGCGACTTGGCATGTGATTTGCATGCCATACGACTTGCAATCATATGCCATGTCACACCCTATTGTCTGCAATTGGAGTGGTCAAATCGGTGTGGTTCTGACACTGATTTCTAAAGTAGTACATGTACTACTTTTGGTGCAATTTGCATAGACATCTGTGTCAGATGTCTTGCAAATCGCACCTGAAATCGGCATCTCACCCAACTTTGAAATTGTGCGACTTCAGTGTACGTCTCACGATCTCAAAGTTGGGCTTGATGTGACTGGGGGGTAAGCCCCTCAACCTGCCTGGATGAGAACCCTGGGTGATACACTCTGCAAATCCTCACATCCATTTTTTTTATACCTGCCATCCAGAAAGGAGCTGCTAGCTTCTGCTGGGTGGATATTTGGCAGGTGTTCCTTATAAAAGGTACCTTTTTAGGTCCCATTTTACAGCCTAAAGCTGAGGAAGAAAAAACCCATGCACTGAAACATATGTACATTCCAATAAATGGTGTGCAAACTAGACGTGCATTTCATTTTGTAACAAATTGGTTATAGGACAAAAATTTGATTTTTGGAGATTCGGATATGTACGAACTTTAACGAAATTAACTAATGCATTCATTTCATTTGGAAGACATCACATGATGAGATAGTAGGTCAGGCCCATGTGGAAACTTATTAAATTTTTGAGTTTGTTCAAAAATTCAAATTTGAGTAAACTTATGATTTAAATTGAGTTTGTATTTGTCACAGTCAGTCAGTTCAGCTCCACAGTCTAATGAGATTCTTAGGTTTGAAAAATTCAGGACGGCTGAATTGTGTATTATTTATTCCATTGCGTTTGGAAATATTGAATAGTTTTGATATACTGTATGAATAACAAATCCACCCGAAAATATTGAAACCGTAAAAACTAATGAATAGCAATCTTCCAGAAAAACTGCAAAATTTTTCAAATCCACCTGCACCAACAAATAATTAAGTGTTCTTGCATAGCAAGGAACACTTATTGTTATCTCACATATATATTCTTATTCTTATTCCGTTTCTTATTATAGCCATATTTGCCACGCTAACTCCTCCCACAGTTTTTACACTACAAATACAAGTAATATATCAAAACGTGCGGATTGTTCCCGATCGGATTGCTATTACTTTGTGGAACGTTTCGCCGAATCATTCAAGAAATATCGCGGTTTTTGCGGCGAAATTTTCCCATAGGAATGCATTGAGCAGCAGAGCACAGCTAGAGTGTGTAAAGGAAAAATCAGAAAAATCAGAACATGATTTGTAAACTGCCATCACTCTTTCATTTTCAAGCCCACCTACACATATCTTATATCAAAACGTTCAGCTAACCCTGCTGTCACTAAAAATGTTCACGAATGCCAGTAGTGTACCGCGCTCCAATATATTCTACCTTATGTGATATAATGAATTCATAAGTGTACCACCGATAATCAAATAATTACATCAATTAATTATACTTAAATATATGATTTGTGTAAATATATAAAATAAATTAATTTATCAATGTGAAAAAAAAAAAAACTATGAATGAAAAATATAAATAAAAAATAAAAAATATTTGCAGTGGAATGAATGACAGTTCCTTCTGTATAAATGAGATGGTGTTATTATTCAGTCTGGATAAAAAATAAAATAAAATTAAAATTAAAAAAAAATAAAAAATTAAAATTAAAATTAAAAAAATAAAAATAAAATTAAAAAAAAAAAATAAAAATAAAAATAAAAAAAAAATAAAATAAAAAAAATTAAAATAAAAAAAAAAATATTTGCAGTGGGAATGACAGTTCCTTCTGTATAAATGAGATGGTATTATTATTCAGTCTGGATAAAAATAAAAATAAAATTAAAATTAAATTAAAATTAAAATTAAAATTAAAATAAAATAAAAATAAAATTAAAAAAAAATAAAAAAAAAAAAATAAAATAAAAATAAAAAAATAAAAATAAAAAAAAAAAATAAAAATAAAATAAAATAATAAAAATAAAAAAATTAAAATAAAATTAAAAATAAAATAAAATTAAAATAAAAAATAAAAATAAAATAAAAATAAAAATAAAAATAAAATAAAATAAAAATAAAAATTAAAATTAAAAATTAAAATAAAATTAAAATTAAATAAAATAAAATAAAAATAAAATAATTAAAATAAAATAAAATTAAAATAAAATAAAAATAAAATTAAAATTAAAATAAAATTAAAATAAAAATAAAATAAAAATAAAAATAAAAATAAAATAAAAAATAAAATAAAATAAAAATTAAAATTAAAATTAAAATTAAAATAAAATAAAAAAAAAAATTAAAATAAAAAAAAAAAAAAATAAATAATTGATATCCCGGATAAGACACTATGTTTCTTTTCTTTAATATTTAATTAATACTAATTTTAGCACGCAATTGAACTTGGCAAGTTTAAAAAAAGCCTGTTTAGAACAGGCATGCTGACATTCCTCTCAGAGTGAGTTGTCATAGCAACCCAGCTGTCTCAGCACAGTTGAGCCTACTCCGCCCTCTCCAGGTGCAGCAACCAAAGGTCACTCAAGAGGCAGATGACTCACGAGGCTGGACTGTGAGCTTCAAAATACAAGCTGAAATGCATTTCTCACTATAAGGCTTGCAATGTGCACTGCTTACATTTCATCAATCATTTGGTAAAGGTTGCGGCAAGAACACTTTACACAATTTCCCCAGAAATTGTAGATTGTTATTATTATTATTATTATACAGGATTTATATAGCGCCAACAGTTTGCTCAGTGCTTTACAATATAAAGGGAGACAATAGAGCAACAATACAGTTCAATACAAGAGGGTTAGGAGGGCCCTGCTCCATGGAGCTTACAATCTAAGAGGAAGGGGCTGGTGGTACAAAAGGTAATAACTGTGGGGGATGGACTGGTAGAAGGAATAGAAGATTTGGTTATTAGCTGAAGGCAGGATAGGCTTCCCTGAAGAGAGAGATTTTCAGAGATCGTCTAAAAGTGGGCAGAGTAGGCGATAGATTGGGGTAGAGAGTTCCAGAGGATGGGGGGCTCTGGAGAAGTCCTGGAGACGAGCATGGGAGGAGGAGACAAGGGAGCTAGAGAGCAGTTGGTCGTGGGAGGAGTGGAGAGGATGGTTTGGGTGATATTTGGAGAGAAGATTGGTGATGTAATTGGGGGCAGAGTTATAAATGGCTTTATATGTTATTGTTAATGTTTTGAATCAAATCCGACAAGGACGTTATTTGTTGTGCAATGGAAGCCAGTGGAGGGATTGGCAGAGAGGGATGGCAGATATGGAATGGTTAGTAAGGTGGATGAGTCTGGCAGCAGCATTCATGATAGACTGAAGAGGGGGTAGCCTGCGATTAGGTAGGCCAATGAGGAGGGAGTTACAATAGTCAAGGCGGAAGATAACCAGGGAGTTTATAAGTTGCTTAGTAGTTTCAGAGGTTAAGAACTTGGATATGTTGCGGAGATGAAGTCTACAAGATTTGGACAGTGATTGAATTTGGGGCTGAAAGGACAAATGGGAGTCCAGAATTACACCTAGTACCCTGGCATGAGGGAAGAGACTGATGGTTGTATTATTGATCTTGATGGAGAAGTCAGGGGAGGGAGCACGGGCTGGAGGGAATAGTATGAGCTCAATTTTAGAAAGATTGAGTTTAAGGAATTGGAGTGACATCCATGCTGATATGTCACTTAGTAGGTTAGTAATGCGAGAGGAGACTGGAGGGGTGAGGTGAGGAGTAGGAAGATAGATTTGTGTGTCATCCGCATAGAGATGGTACTTAAAGCTATGGAAGTTTATCAAGTGACCAAGGGAGAAAGTGTAGATGGAGAAGAGGTCCAAGGACAGAACCTTGAGGGACCCCTACAGAAAGAGGAAGTGGAGAGGATGAGACAGAGTTATAGGTAATGCTAAAGAAGTGCTGCGATAGGTAGGAGGAGAACCAGGAGAGAGAAGAGTCTTGGAGGCCAAGAGAGTGGAGTTTTTTGAGGAGAAGGGGATGGTCAACAGTATCAAAAGCCGCAGAGAGGTCAAGTAGTAAGAGTATAGAATAGTGGCGATTGGTTTTAGCAGTTAGTAAATAATTAGTGAGTTTTAATAGGGCAGTTTCAGTGGAGTGTAGTGAGCGAAAGCCAGACTGTAAAAGGTCAAGAAGGTTGTTGTCAGTGAGGTAGGAGCTCAGGAGATGGGTCTTAAGTTGTTCAGGTTGGTGGGGTCCAGTGAGGGCTTTTTAAGTATGGGAGTGATGTGTGCGTGCTTTAGAGGGGAGGGAAGGCACCAATAGAGAGGATGAGATTGAAGATGTGAGTTAGGGAGCATTGGATAGAAGAAGAGGGTGACCGTAGTAGTTGTGAGGGGACAGGATCCAGGGGGCAGGTGGTAAGACGGGCTTCTGAGAACTTTAGTGACCTCTTCAGTAGTAACAAGGTCAAAGGAGGAAAGTGTTGAGGGAGGTTTAGTATAAGGTATGCTAAGTGGGATAGATGTCTGTGCAGTGGAGATGCCCCTACGAATTGCATCAATCTTGTTTTTGAAATGATATGTTGCAATCTCGTAAGCAGTGAGTTACTGGGTGGAGGTGGAGAAAGTAGAGGGTTAAAAGTAGAGAAGAGACAACAAGGACTGGATGAAATGGTATTAATAAGAGTGGCAAAGCAGGCTTGTATGGCAGCATGTAGGGAGGAATTGTATATTAAGAAAGCAGATCTATATAGGGTGAAAGCTTGCTGAGATTTGGTTTTACGCTACAATCGCTCCAGTTCATGACTATGTCTCTTATGATTTCTGGTGTCGTCAATCTACCACGGTTGTAATGGTCGGGGCCTGATACTTGTGTAGTTAGAGGAGCAAGTGAGTCTAGTGTGGATGATAGTGAACTGTTGTAGACAGCAGTGGCCAGGTCAGGGCAGGACAGGGGAGACATTCTGTCATAGAGGCAGTCAGTTGCAGAGTGGAAAAGAGAATGGTTTAAGTTGTGAATGTTTCTGCAGGTAATTGTTTGCTGTTTGGATGGATAGGTGTTTGAAGACGAGGACACTGTGAAGGTGATGAGATTGTGATCAGAGAGAGGAAAGGGGGTATATGTGAGCTTGTAGGGAGTGCAAAGATGGGAGAAAACAAGGTCTAATGTATTTCCATCAGTGTGAGTGGAGGACTGTGTCCATTGTGTTAAGGCAAAAGATGAGGTTGAAGAGTTGGGATGTAGCTGGGTTGTGAACATTAACGGGGATGTTAAAATCTCCAAGAATGATAGTAGGTATTTCAGAGAAGAGAAAGTAGGGTAGCCAGGCAGAGAAATCATCAAGAAAGCATGACACCGGTCCAGGAGGCCGGTAGATCAACTGCAATCCTCAGAGAAATAGGAGAAAATAGCCAAATGCAGAGAGTACTGAAAGAAGAGAAAGATAGAGAGGGAGGGTTATGGAGGACTTGAAAGATGCTCAGTGGGAATAAAAGCAAACCAACTCCACCTCCTTTCCAACCACTGGGTCTGGGGGTGAGTGAGTCCAGAGAAGGCCTCCATAGGAAAGGGCTGCGAGAGAAGCAGAATCTGCTACTTAAAGCTAGGTTTCTGTTAAGGGAGCAGGAGACAAAAATGTCATGGACAGAGGGGAGCTTATTACAGACAGAGCGGGCATTCCAGAGTACACATGATAAAGGTTGGGTGGTATTTAGGAGCACGGGGATTGAGATTAAATTGAGTGAATTGCGGCTATTCCTGGTGGAAGGAGGGTGCCTGGTGTGGGGGTGAGATACTGGAGGACCAGGGTTTCGGGAGATATTCCCAGAGGTTAGGAGAAGGAGGGTGAGGAAAGTAAGATGGGAGCGAGATGTATATGAGTTCACATGCCTTCCTGTCCTGGAGTTTGGGCCAGCAGGTGAGTAAAGTATCAGCAGGTTGTGATGAGAGCAGTAGTAGGGAGATGGTAGCAGTGAGGGTGAGATGTATAAGCTTTGAGGTGTAGCAGAGGGGCAAAGAAATAAAATTTTGAGAACACAGGCTAGTAATATGAAAAGGTTGAGTAGAGGTGGCATATTAAAAGGTAGATGCAGTGGGAACCAGACTTGTGGGAGATGTTTCCCAGGGTGTTTTGCTTGCAGTCCATCCAGCGTGCAGTAGAGTTCCTAGTATCTTTTTGTTGTATCCTGCTTTAGTTAAACTGCTGTGTTCAACTGCTGCTTCACACTCCAGCAGAAAGTGCACTCGCGCAGGAAAAATGCCCCACCATCTGCGACTGTGCCCCCCGTCTGTGACCTCCCCCATGAGCTGGTCTAAATTATAAGAAATGAATGCCTAAGATACTAAATGAATTTCGAAAACAAATCAGTTCAACATAACGTATATGATGGAATGAAATTCTTCAGTGAACGAATGCTTCCAAAACTAAACGAAAATTTCTGGTGTACACATTTTTAGTGTAAACATGTACTTAGTCATTGCCAAGCAGCCAGGTTTCAAACCCTCTGTGTTGATCTGCACTAGGAGATTAAAGTATTTCACCAGTATGTTATAGGTAAACATTTTTAAAAATGTAAATAATTTTTAACACCCACCTATTTAATATTTTGATACAACTAATTGCCTTACTTGTTAACAGTTCTGCTGATAATTAGCTGCAATGCTTATTTTAAAGTGTATGTCAAAGTCAAATTTTTTTTTTTTTATTTGTTTTGGATAGAATATGAAAGGGTCAATACTCTTGTCAGGTTTTTATTGCTGTCAATGTCCCTGCAAGAAAGGAAGATTCACTCTTACTATTAGTCCTGGTGACCATTGTCTCTGATACAGTAAGTAATGAGAAATCCAATACGTAGTAGGAACAGGAATATAGGGGAAATATTCCAATGGGGAAAACAGAGTGGAGAGAAGGTATATGTAATCCAAGGAATGCAGCAAAGTACAATAATACAAATGTTCCAAAGAAACGGGGTCTGTATAACACATCCAGACCAGGCACTGCAGTACTTCACAGAAATTCTTGCAAACCACAGTCTCAGTATTATAAAAGATACTCTAAATAGCTTAGGATGCCCAACAACATCTGACAAAAGAGGTGTCTGGAAGGCGGTCTGGCAACATGCACTAGTAGGTAGGAGAGTTCCTGGATGTTGGCACAGGCATGTGGTCCATACTCTGTCCCTCCTCCCTTGGAACCTTTTTCCTGTCCTGTCCTGTCCCTGACCTAACCACTTTGCAAATGAGTGCCAACTGCATTGGGACAGTGCCATTTTTTAGTACTGCCAACCAGGGGCGGACTGACAACTCATGGGGCCCCCGGGCAATTGGGGATCATGGGGCCCCTGTATCCTTGCCCACACTCAAAACAAACCCAAAAAAGCCTATAAAAGGTACCAGGGGAATTTTATGGGGCCCCCTACTGACCCCGGGCCCTCGGGCAGTGCCCGAGTGCTCGAATGGTCAGTCCGCCCCTGCTGCCAACACTAAAGATGGCTGTGCCACCTGTGCAGGGAGGTTAAACTGCATCTACCTACAGGCAATTTCCCTTTGCTTTGGAGAGAGTATTTCTGGGACAAGAAGTGGACAGAAATCTCCCCTATGAGTCACAGACCAGAAAAAAAACTGACAATGGACTTAACCATCCCCTACTCTATCCTCAATGTAAAAATAGCTTTGGTTTTGCATACATAAAATATGTTTTAAAATATAAGGCCCAGCACAATGTATAGATCAGATGTATACTTAAACACTGTTATGTGTTTTTTTTAATTTTCTTTGTCTGCTCCAGGTAAAGGTGATCTCATTGGTGCTGACATCACCAGCAAAGACCAGGTGGTTAAAACAAATGCTGACGTGAAAGCGCTAACATACTGCGACCTGCAGTACCTCACTCTACGAGGGCTTCTGGAAGTACTGGAACTGTACCCTGAGTATTCCAGCAAATTCATGGCAGACATCCACCATGACCTGACGTTTAATCTACGGGAAGGCAGTGAGACCGATGTAAGAGATTGGTGAAATAGTGCTATTTCTGCTGTGTTGTATCCCGTGTTTTAATCACACTTTGTCTTCCATCACCAATTTCAGGGCTACTACAGGTTTTCCCGTTCACCACGACTATCACAGGTAATACTGTTTATATTTTAGCATTGCTTTTCTTGTGCTGCTTAGATTTATATTGTTCTTGTTTGGTTTTAGTATGATACATTGAATTCATGCTACATTTGTATTGTATGCATGTGTCCAATCCTTTGACCTTTTTTGATTGCAACAATGCTAGTCATCAGCACGGATGTATCTTGTAATTAGGGCAAAATAAGTGAATCACCCAAGGTTCAGTGATTTGTTTCAGGCATTAGTCATGGTTATGGATTACATTTCTTTTTTTAGACTTGAATAAAATAGTGCTCAGAAAATGCTATAACAAATGGTGGATCATTTGGTAGTTTGAAAAATATCCACGTAGGAAATAATATATCTTAAAGGACCCAATATTCTTTTGAGCACAAAAAACATTCTAATCCAACTGCTATGAACATGCACTTACAGTATATTTAAATACAGCAAATTTTGAAGATCATCAGAAAATATCCATAAAGCCAGATATGCTACCTAGATTACCTAGACATGAAATAAACATCACTCCATCGGGCTTATTACAGTCAGAGTAGAAAATTATTATGTGGACAATCTGAAATACTCTATAGCCCTCTGATCTTGGGGGAAATATTGATCATTTGGAATTAATATATCTGAACAATCACTACTGATTCTGTGAGGCTTGTGAAAACATATCTACATAAACATACACATTTGGCCAAGATATGGGCAAGTACAGTGGCTAGGCAGTTAGCACTTTCACCTAGCAGCACTAGGGTCATCAGTTCAAATCCAAACCATGGCACTACCTGCATGGAGTTCTCGCTGTGGAGTTCCGTTGGTTACTCTACTTTCCACCCACACTCCAAACACATGCTGGTAGGTTAATTGGCCCTCGTAAGTATACTGGAGAATGAGCATGATCTGCCAAAAAGGTCAATTTAGTTATATGGGCTATTTAGGGTCATTTATTGATAAAATCAATTTGCTAAACTCATAAAAAAAATTTTGTAAATGTATTTTTCAGCCACGCCCAGAATCTGGTACTACCCCTGATAAGAAGTTAGCCTCAATCCTTGAAGATAAAGATGAGGATGACTTTTTCCGGCACTCTCCAGCCACTATGACACGTAGAAAGCTCATGCTGCCAAATCTTAACAGTCCTGTGCGCCGTGGCTCTCTCAGCAGCCTCCTGGGAGATGATCTGAGACAGTTCTCTGCTTTCCGGCGTAATTGCCGTTCTCCAGCCCGGAACAGTCAAGGAAGAAGCCCCTCACCCCAGTGTCGCAAGGAAGAAAGGGTGTCTGAGCCAGAAAATGTGAGCTCCCGAAAGCCAGCCAATCTCTTAATTCCATCACTCAACACATATGGCCCACCAGATCTCAGTCCAAGGTAAGTTGCGTGTTTTCATTTTGTCAACAGAGTCTGCAGTTTCATGTCTTCGTTTCTTAGAGAAGTTATAAATGGATAATGGACCTTTACTTACAGAAAACTATGCAGAACAACAAGACTGATAGTAAAATTCTGATAAATATTTTTGGAACTTTAGTAGTACTATTTTTATTAGTCTTAACTTATTTTTTCTTTGGAAGAGAAGTGGATGATTTGCTGTGCATATCTGGGATTGAGCAGGGAAATCTACCCAACTCTTTCCATCAAAGGTGTTAATTTGACATGCATCCATAGATATAACAGAATTTATTCATATATACGTTTTCCAGGTACAAAGAGACACAATGTTATGTGAACTGATAAGGAAAATCAGAGTTTATGACCTTTCTTTGTTTCTTTAACCTCAGCATCTGATATTACATTGGTTGTATTTCTAATTATATTAATCTATTCCTCTTTACAGAGTGGTGGATGGAATTGAGGATAGTGGTGATATCTCTGAAAGCCAAACTTTTCAGTTCAACATGGACAACTCAAGGGCAAGGTCTCCGATCAGGCAGTCTCCTGTAGCAGGTATAATTTTAGCTATGAAGATTGTCTATTGATGCCTGTTATCTAGGGTCTATTTCCATAGCATTTACCAATTGGAGCAAACAGTGAACTGTCTTTCTTATCATTAGTAGTCAAGAATGCTAGGTCCTATACTTGCCTCACTTAGATGTTTTGGACAGCATTCTGCTGACACTTTGACTAGGGCCTGATTTATACTTCCTGGCCCTCTGTGCCAAATTTCTTAGCTGCCCCCTTCTACTTTGGGCAATGGGCAAGCTTTAGTATCACACTAACAAAATAGGACATCAAATATCACTCAAGATGAGCTAAAGTTTGGGGCAAAAAAGGTCAGAAAGACACTTTACTCACTGTTCCACTGTGAAACTAGAAGCATGGACTAGAAGACTAGTCTGCAAGCAGTGTGGTTCCAAGCAAACCTAACTACACAGAAAACAATTTCATCAATAAAAATGCACAACTTGTACAAGGGAGCAATGGTAAAGGCCTTTTCACATGTCGTTCTGTGGCAGATGTGAACGGAAGCTCAATGTACGTGGGAAGGTGGATGTAAATTTCCGTATAGGTAAAAAAAAACAAAAGGTTTGCATCCTTTCCCACTTTTTTGGACCTAAATGTGAACCTTTGGAGGTAAAAGGATGTAAAAGGATTTTTAATTTTACATGGGAATGTCAGGAACATCATGTATGAGTGACGGTGCACTGTCCTAGGCCATGGCCTGCATTACATAGTTAGATAGTTGGTAAGGTTTAGACATGTGCAAGCTGGAAATTTTTATTTCATTTATGATGTATTCGTTCATTGGAGAATTTTGTTTCATCATATTCGATGTTGAACCAATTATTTTCCAAATTCATTTTGTATCTTCGGCATTCGTTTTGTATATTTGTTGGTCCGGGTGGATTAGAAAAATAAGATTGCTATATATTCAATATATTATCACATCAGTTGGATTCAATAATTTTAAACATTAGTCCAACCCATCAAGAGAAATGGGGTGAGCTGATTGGACAATATCGACTGACGTCATGTGCATCCGAATTAACAAATGGAACAAAATTTGGATCCAATTGTTGTACGAATCCAAATTATTGAAGAAATTCCAAAATTGAATTCATTTCCCTATGGGCCCGAACTACTATTGCATCATGTGACGTAATCGAATTAAACAAATGCATTTATTAATTTCTTTTTAACTTTTTTTTGGATCCGTTGACATTTGTTATTAGAGTATGTCCTTTCAGAGATTCGTATATATCCATATCTCCAAAAATGAAATTTGTGTCTGAAAAATGAATCTTAATGACACGAAAGATACTAAAAGTTTTTGAACTTATCTACACTCCCCGCTGACACCATCAACTGTAGGAGGGAGTTTCACATCCCTACCGCCCTATATGTAAAGAACCCCTTACGCAATATACAATTGAACCATTTATCATCCCACTTTATTGTGTGGCCACGTGTCTTCTTTAAGACCTAAGATAAAAAAGTTTCTTCCCAGCGCTAGAGTCACCATTCAAGGATTTGTATGTCACTATTATATCCCCTCTTAAGCACCTCTTTACCAGGGAGACCAAGTTTAGAGTTTGTAGTCATTCCTCTTAATTGAGGACCTCTGGCCCCCCTATTAGCTCTGTTGCCCTTCTCTGGAAGGTGTTGTCTTTGTAGAAATCTGACCCTTGCAGTGACTTGCTGTTAAGAGGGGGCAAGAACAAGAAGGAAAGGGTGAAACTTCCCAACAGTGTTCCATAAACACATTTTGAAACATTACTTGTCACTTTAACTGTGCCAAAGAGAGCAATTCTCCATCATTATCAAATGGCTGTCATGGAGGATCAACCCAGATACATGGGCTTTTATAATTGTATAACATTTGATGTCTGTCCAGACCTAAGACTCTTATATACTTGCTCTATTGTTTTTCAACGTTCAGATTTAATTTGCTTCCTGAAAATGAGTACTTTGTTCTTGAACATGTAATCTTTAGTTGTCCATTCATGTGAGATCAGAACAAGCGCAGATATTATGTTTTTCATGATGCGACCCTGAAACTGAACCCTTTCTCTATTATGCTATCAAATCTATTAATATTTATGCTGCTCTTATTTCAATGTCAAGGCTTAGCGAAGGCATACTCTGCTCTGTCAAAATGCCTTCTTTGATCCATGTTTACAACCTAAATGACAGGCAAGTCACAAAGAGTTTTTTTTTTTTAGCAGCGAGGCAGGTTTAATTGAAGCCACTGAAACCCATAAATAGTCAGCTGTGGATATATTTTCCAAGAGGAAAAGGGTGTTATAGTTAAAAAATCTAACAGAAAGAATGGGAACCCCTAAAGATGGCTCCTGTATAAATGCAGTCTCAGGAACTCAAACACAAAGTCTCTCATCACTATACAAATATTGTAGAATAGTAAACTTTCCAACAGTTACCAAAAAGTAAAATATGAGTTTTGGGGAGACTGATTCTTTAAGACATTCAGGGAACTGCTCTGGACACGAAATTCTTCATAAAGCTGGCTAAACAGCATGGATGGACAAATCCCCCCACTACGCCATTGTACTCTGACAGTCACCAGGGGCAGCTGTCAAATTGCCTAAACAATGGCTATATCGGGTTGGATGCAGTGGTTGTTTAGCTGAACATTTCCCAGCAGGTTCCTTTGACAAACAATTTGTTTTGCCAAATGAAGTGAGAAAGGCAGGAATTCGCTCAGAAAATTCGCTCAGTCTGTGGGGGCCATCAGCGTTCATATTGCCAATGTTCTCAAAGGTGAACACACCGATATGCACTGACTGAAGTACTTTGACCTCTGAGCAGTGTGTCAAGAAGCATATTTTATACTGTCATTCTTTTGAAATATTGCAAGATACAAATCTGTACATTAACTTTGTTGGCATTTATTATTACAGCTTGCCAAATTGTGAAGTGTAATTGCCTATATATTCTGCATTTTATATCCAAGCATGTCATAACGTGCTGTCACTAGCTGGTTGCAACACAGGAAAAGAGCAGTTAATTGGATCTTTGCTCTGTTTAGAAGTCAATAGTATCAAGCAAGATGATGTATTTAAAGGTGATGGCTTGACATGAAATCTAAATCTAGTTAATACGTATGAGTTCATATAAATGCAAATATACTGTAAATCTGTGTTATTGAGCATGCAGAACACTGCCAAAATGTACATTAAATGCACTGTGCTAAATGTATAAACAGTAAAATGTAGACCTATACAATCACAGTACTAGTTTTAGGACCACTGATTAATGTGCAGTAAGCCAATCAACCAATCTGGAATTATCTTTAATTGTATTAAATGCTCCTAATAGATACAAAGAGAATGCAGGTGGACTATGTGGGCTTACAAGGACTGTTGTTTGTATTGCCTAATTCAATTTAGTTTTTTTTGCTTTCAGAAAAGCTACATAAGAAGGTGGTGGTCACTGTAGATACAGCATCACATATTAGTATCTATTACAGATAAATCACATAAAAATGGTGTGAAAAAAGGGGGTAATTAGGGTCATAGGGGTGGGGGAAGAGGGGAATATACAAGGCTTCAAAACTTGCAGAGTATTGAGAAATATTGTAGAAACAAGAATTATATCTCTAGTATCTTAATCAAGGTATAAATTGCCTTTATGTCTGATACGTATAAGAGTATTACACTACTTTTAATAAACATTGAGCTCATATACTATATAAAGTAAAGCAATGGGGTATCTATATAGGGTCAGTCAGGGCTTTTTTTCTAGGTGCTGGAGAATAGGTGGTGGAACTCGCCCTTTCCTAGTCACTCCTTGTCTTTTTACCCACACCTGAGCACCATTCCTTGGTTCCACCCCCTACCCACCTCCCAGTACCAAGAGGAAGCATCATTTTTGGCGCTAAATAATTTGCATTGAATTTGTTAATGATGATAAAAAAGCAGCAAAATTGATCTCTTGTGGCCGGCAACAACAGACCCCCCCCAGCAACAAAAAAAAAATTCCCCCCTCCCCCAGCAACAATAGACCACCGGCAGCAACAACAGATCTCTCAGCAGCCAGCTTCTATATATCCCCCACGCAGTCAGCTACAATGGACCCCGACCTCAACAGTAGATCCCTTCCAGTGACAGTTGGCCCGCCAGCAATATAAGATTCACCCCAGCAACAATATATCCCCCACCAGCAACAACAGTCCACCCAAGAAACAATAGACCTCCCTGCAAAAAAGACCCCCTTCAGCAACAATAGATCCACCAGCAGCCAGCATCAACAAACCCTCCAGAACACTCCAGCACTCTTTGCCATTACATATATTCAGTGCTGGAGGTGCGTTTCCCCGCGTACTCACTGAAAAAAAGCCCTGGGGTCAGTATAGAAAAGCTTTATAACCATTATCTTGCAGACAGTCTCTCTATTGATTCCAAAAGGGCTCCCATTTTCTATTTTTAATGGGGAACATGAGTTAAAACTGTGCTTGTGCACTTAGGTTGTTTAAGAATATTGCATTGTCAAGATGATCTTTTTGTTTCCAGGCTGCAGCTATGGTGTTCCTGGCAACAATTAAACAACTTTTTATAAATGTCTGATGGTTATAAGGCCATTGTTCAATATGTTATTAAAGGGAATCTGTATTGAGGAATATGGTGGTTCTCATTACTGACTCTGAAAATTATTGTTCCAGGACTGTCATGCTTCTCCCATGGCATTGTTACTTTTTAATTCACTGACCTGGACAAGTATGCAATTCAGGATTTTTACCTTCACTCTGGCTTTCTAATCTGCATGCTTGTTCTGGGTCAGTGACTACAACATTACTGATGCCAGGGACAACCAGGCAACCATTTTCAAAAGGAGAACAGCAATGATGGCCTTCATTATTCCCCCAGTACAGTTACTTTGTGGGCTCATGTTAGTAGGGCTCATCTCCACAGGGCCTGTTCTGAATAGAAAGCAAGGGGTTCTTTTCCCAGTAGTTGCCCTGCAGCAAGGCACACAGTCACAGTTACTCCTTTGG